GGTTGAAAACTCAGGTTTTCCCAAGAGCTTAAATAAGATCCATATGGATAATGGAGAAAATTGTAGAACACAACTATATATAATGTTTCTTTATAAAGAAATCTGATTATTGTTTGACACATCTTTCATAACTCCCAAACAACAACTTTATGACTTTGAACTCTTATGCTCCTTCTATTGACCCCAAACCAGAAACTGGCTAGAAAAAGCAGATAGCTAGATATCTCAGATATCAGATTTGGCCTTGATGAAGTATGTGCATTTGAGCAAATTGGAAGCCATGAAAAAAATTCCAATTGTAAATCATTTTGTTTTATTAACTGAAAGACTTCTGAGATAAATGTGTCTAACATCTGAAAATGCTCTCACTTTCCTAGGCTTATCATGAAGAACAAGTAACTTACCCATACCTACTATTGTCCTAGTTGTTTTTTTTTTAATTTGTATTAACTATCATCTAGCAACTCATTAATAATATTATGATGAATCTCAAGGAGAAGTAAAAATTCTTTAATGGCAGGAACTAGTCAACCATGGCAGAAAATAATGCATTTGACTCTTTTTTTTCTCATTTTTTTGAAATTAATTTTTTATTTATATATGACAGTGGAATGCATTACAATTCTTATTACACATATAGAGCACAAATTTTTCATATCTCTGGTCACACCAATTCGTGTCTTCATACATGTACTTTGGATAATGATGTTCATCACATTACACCATCATTTCTAACCCCATGCCCCCCCTTCCCCTCCCACCCCTCTGCCCTATCCAGAGTTTTGTCTATTCCTCCCATGCTCCTCCCTCCCTACCCCACTATGAATCAGCCTTGCTATATCAGAGAAAATATGAAAAAAAAGTTCATCATCACTACCAATTAGAGAAATGCAAATCAAAACTACTCTAAGATTTCATCTCATTCCAGTCAAAATGGCAGCTATTATGAATAAAAACAACAATAAGTGTTGGCAAGGATGTGGGGGAAACGGTACACTCGTACAGTGCTGGTAGACTGCAAATTGGTTGAGTACCCTGAGTTCAAGCCTCTGCAAATTGGTGCAGTATGGAGATTCTTTGGAAAATTGGGAATGGAACTACCATTTGACCCAGCTATCCCTCTCCTAGTTCTATACTCAAAGGACTTAAGAACAGCATACTAGGGGACACAGCCACATCAATGTTTATAGCAGCTCAATTCACAATAGCTAAACTGTGGAACCAATCTAGATGCCCTTAAGTAGATGAATGAATTTTTTAAAAATGTGGCATATATACAACACAATGGAATATTACTCATCAATAAAAGAGAATAAAATCATGATATTTTCAGGTAAATGAATGGAGTTAGAGAAGATAATGCTAAGTGAAGTTAGCCAATCCCAAAAAACCATAGCCAAATGCATTTGGTTTTTATTGGTATTTGTATTAATGCAACTTGTTTATAATCTAATACAACTACATTGCTTTCAAGGTTTTTTGTTTTAAATAAATGGGATTTACTCCTTCATCCAGTGCCTACCATGGGCCAGATATTCTTTGATAACCTTTGATACATTTGTGGAAGAAAAAAAAGAAAAATTCTCAACCTTTATAAAGTTTGCACTCTGGTGGGGAGAGACAGAAAATAAAAATAAACCTAATAAATAAGTTACATGTATAAAAGATGTCAAAGAACCTTTCACTGTGAAATTAAGTTTAAATTTTATAATATAAGCAAGGCACAGTGGCACAAGCCTGGAATCCCAGTGACTCAGGAGGCTGAGACAGAACAATCTCAAGTTCAAAGTCAGCTTCAGCAGCAGCAAGGTGCTAAGCAACTCAGTGAGACCCTGTCTCTTAAGTAAAATACAAAATAGGAATGGGAATGTGGCTCAGTGGTCGAATACTCCCGAGTTCAATTCCCGGTACCTCCCCCCAAAATTATATTACAAATAACCTAATGCTTTATGGACATGATGTCTGCCACTCAACACTGGATCTCCCTGCAAAATTCAAAGGTGCACTTCTTCTAACTAGTATAAAATGAGTTTCGTCGTATGAACCATGCTTCTGCCAATAACTAAATTTCATTTCTCCTCTTTGAAATAAATATCCCTTGAGGCCCATATTTTCATTCAGGGACTTTAGTACCCTATCCTTCCATTCTCTGTACATCTCCCTTTCTCTGAATATCAGGCACATAGTTGCTTGGTTAAACACTACTCTAAGTGCTAGAAATACAGAACTAAGACATGGTCTTTACCAGAAAGAGCTGATTATCCAATAGACACAAAAGACACAGGAAGATGACAGCATGAGTGTGTAACTGAGGTCATGAGTGTGTAACTCTGGTCCTTGTGCCCAGAGGAGAGAATTCCATGGTCTCTAACTGGGGAAGATTGCTCTCAGAGAATGGGTAGACCTGTGAAGGCAGAGAAGATATAGTGATTCATAGGGGACACATAAGCCTGGGAGAGCAGGCAGGGAATAAGTAAGTCCAAGAAGCTAAATTTGGGGAAGCAGAGGCAGATTCTGCATACACGCCACTACGGGGAGCTACATCCCTCATGAAGAGAATGGAAAGCAAACTAGAGGTGGCTTATGCACAGACATGAGCTGTGCCACTGGGCACATTGTGAAGCGTGACTGGCTCTCGAGGCACAGGTTAAGAAAATAAAAAGTATCTGAAGAAATCAGGGAGACCAAACAACAAAAGACAAAGCTAATAATCTCACCAGTCCCAAACTGTGCCCTCAGTCTCTGGGCAGATCTCGGTAGTTCCCCCACTAGACAAGCCACCAACAGCTGAACTATATCACCAAACCAAACAGGGAAAGTGTTTGACTCAGGCTATGGCTAAATAAACGAGAATTTTTTCCCTATGATGTTAAATACACACAAAGTGCATGTTCCAAAACTCATGTTTTATTTCTAGTGCCAATCACTATTTTTTGGTACTATAAAGTCAACAATAAAAAGACACTATGTCTTGATATCATCCTACATATTATACATAGCATGCTGTTGTGCAATCATCCATCTCCCTGCTAGTCTGGGAACTCCTCAAGGCCAAGAACTAGCTAATAGTAGGCATTCAGTTAAGGGTTGACAAACAAATAAATGAATTAAGCCACCAAATTTTTCTCCATAGTTCTAACTGAGTATAACAGGACCAATTGCTACTATTTTTCATTCTAAATGATGATAGCATGAAGGCTGCTCAACTGGCCTCTCACAAACACCAACTCTACAACCCAAAATATAGGCACATAAAATCAAACTTCAGAATCAGATGAGGGCAATTTTAAATTTATTTTTATTTATTTGTTTGCTTGTTTATTAGTAGTACTGAGAACAGAATACAGGGCCTTATTGTGCTCAGCACACACTACCATTGAGCTATACTCTCAGTATATTAAATTTAAATTTTTGAACAGTTTTTCAATTTTCAGACATTCACTGAGCCAATGTGATCATGCGCGCGCACACACACATACACACACTCCAATTTAGAGAGAAACAAATGTTGTAGCTCAAAATATTATGAGGGAATAACACTTCTGCAAAACTTCAAGAAATTAGGTTAAGCCCTCATCTCCCTCATATGAACCATATAAAAAGCAGTGTCCTGGCCAAGGCTGGAAAATAACAGACAAAAATGGAAGAGAAAAATTCTTTAAAAAGAAAAAAAATCACCATTATTGTCAAATTGCAAAGTATATGATCACCGACATCCAAGTTGAGTTCTTTGGGCAGGTAGCACTGGGCCTGGGCTACAAAGACAAAGGCAGACTTGAGAACAGCTGCACACAGGTTCTGCCTACTTCCTGATGGCTTTCCAGCACGTTGTCTCCAGTGCCCAGATTATGAATGCTATGCTTGGTGCAGAAAAGAGTTGACCTCACTGATAAAGAATGATAATAAGAGTGGTACAAAGAAATGCTAACACACAGCAATCCAGATTGACAGTGAGCAAAGGAGCTTCAAAAGATAGTCCCTCTTGTCCTAAGGCATGTGGTTGTATGGGTCTGGAGGACAGGAAAGGGGGGTGTTCTTAGTGAGAAGATGAAGGAAGTGCAGAGACTATTACAACAAAGAACTACCCTTTCTGGAATCCATAGAGGTCTGGCCTTTTATCCCCAGGCCCAGGGCCAAGGCCAAGCCTGGGGCCAGGATTTTGTCATGGGCGCCTCCCTGCTGCCTAGCCTGGGCTGCTCCACATGAGCAGAGAGAGACAGGAGGCAGGCCCCTCTGACACCTACTAAACCAGGGCAGATGGAGAAGAGAGTGTGTGGGATGCCTTTACCTCCCCCTCAGGAGGCGCCCAGCAGGAGCCCACAGAGCCAGCAGCTCAAAAATCAAATTTCCACACATCCTCCAACCCCAGAACATGCTAACCCCTTGGCAGGAGGAAACAGAGCATTCAGCAAGTGTAGCTCTGGTGTATGAAGGGAATTTCGGAAGTCCTAAAGAAGCCTTCTCACAGGAATCTGTACTTTTTAAAAACCACTACAGAGGTAGCCAAGTTGGGAAACGTTATTCATTCGTTGACCCAAAGGGGGCAAGGGTGTTGCTTAGAGGAAGACACAACCCATATCTGCAAGACGTCCCAAGCTGCAGACGCATACTTTATTAATAATCTTACATACACAAAATGTCCACAGGAAAGCCTAACAGGCTAATTTCTGACAGCTCCAGATAACAGCAGGAAAAACTGAAGTCAGTCGGACTCTCCAGCTTCCACATGCTACACAGGAGAAATGGGCCCTTCCCACCCAAGGGATGTGATACAAATAAATAAATGCAATTATCTGCAAAACTCCAAGTGCAAAAAACACTGCAAAGTCCTTCTCCCCAAGTGCAGTGACTTGTAGGAAACAGATAGGAAAATAAAAAGAACAGCTGGAAAACTTAATTACAGAAGAACAACGCAAAAGCTGACATTGTTTTGCAGAAATACCAATGGTCAAAGCATTTCTCTCTTACCTTAAGATATAGAAGCAGCCTTTCTCTCTTACCTTAAGATACAGAAGCAGCTCTTGGCTCCTGAAGATAAGCGGCAGAATCCAAATCTCTGTTTGCTGTCAATGTCAGTGAGCACAAATGTGAAGTTCTGGCCAACTTGGCTAACTGTGAGGCTGCAGCAATGACAGAACAAAGGAAGAGATGAACGTGCAGTAAGTTTCTTGATAAAGTATCTAATCACAACAAGTCAATGAACCTAGAACATTTCCTCTCTCACTGGAAAATTTTATAAATGAACTTAAAATTTACACATTTCAAGGGAATAGACTGTAAGCTAATTTTTTTTAAAAAAAAGAAAAAGACAGCAGTTTGGTCTAGTGACCACCCAAAATCAAAATCATCAGCACTCTTGTACCAGTAGCATTCAGGCCATCAATTCCAAAACATGAACTCTATCTACTTCATTTTACAGATGAACAAAGAGCTGGGAAAGTCACTGCCTAAAGTACCAGCTGATTCAGAGCAAGGCTTAAAATCCAGCTTTTGCCCCTTACCAGCTGGTACCTTAGGCAGTGACTTTCTACTAGTCTACCAACTGTTAACAATGCTCACCTAACAACTCTAGTTCAAAAACTAACAGTGACTGCAGCAGCAGAATTTAAGGGACTTCTATATGCAGCCATAGTTAGATATTTAATATATACCATCTCATTTACTCTCACAACAACCTTGGAATTTCACTGATATTCCCATTTTATAGAAAAGGACACTAAAGGGCAGAACAGGTAGGGAACTGAATCAAGTTCAAACTTGAAAATGCCAGCTACTAAGAGGAGCTGGCATTAAAACTAAAAAGAAAAGAGGGCAAGGTTAGGTGTTACTTTCCTAAATTCATGCCTCTTTTATAATTTCTGAATTTATGAGAAACTTATTTCATTTTTTATAGGACAGAAACACCAAAAATTTTTAATAAGATGCCTATAGCACAAGAATTAAAACCAAGAATCAACAAATGGGATGGATTCAAACTAAAAAGTTTTTTCTCGGCAAGAGAAATAATATATGAGGTGAATAAGGAGAACAAATTTTTACCCTGGGAAACAAGAGGATATACAATCAATCAACAAATAAACGAGGGGCTGGGTTGTGGCTCAGGGGTAGAGCAATTGTCTACCATGCGTGAGGCTCTGGGTTCGATCCTCAGTACCACATAAAAATAAAATAAAAAGATTGTGTCCATCTATAACTAAAAAATATGTATTTAAAAAACCCCAAATATATGAAAAAATGCTCATCATCTCTAGCAATCAGAGAAATGAAAATCAAAACTACTCTAAGATACCATCTCACTCCAGTAAGAATGGCAGCCATTATGAAGACAAACAACAACAAGCTGGCAAGGATGCCAGGGAAAAAGATACACTCATACATTGCTGGTTGGACTGCAAATTGGTGCAGCAAATTTGGAAAGCAGTATGGAGATTCCTTGAAAAGCTGGGAATGGAACCACCATTTGACCCAGCTATTCCTCTTCTCGGACTATACCTAAAGGACCTAAAAACAGCATACTTCAGGTACACAGCCACATCAATGTTTATAGCAGCACAATTCATAATAGCTAAACTCTGGAGCCAAACTAGATGCCCTTCAATGGATGAATGGATTAAAAAAATGTGGCATTTATATACAATGGAATATTACTCAGCACTAAAAAATAATAAGATCATGGCATCTGCAGGGAAATAAGTGGCATTAGAGCAGATTATGCTAAGGGAAGTTAGCCAATCCGAAAACACAAATACCGAATGTCTTCTCTGATATAAGCGGGGGGGGGGTCTCAAAATGGGATAGGGAGGAAGAGCATG